TTTCTATGAAACTTGAGTACAAAACAATCTCCTGGTTCACCAGGTCTGACCTTCAAAGCTAGGACCTGCCATGACACTTACAAACCACCATCAATCCCTCCATATTCCATTAGCAAGAACTAAGTTCCACTCAAACAGCCTCCTCTTATAAACCACTGTCCTATGGAACAGACTTCCAAGAGGATGTTTCGCTGATTACTACAATCTTAACCTGTTCAAACCATTCGTTATCTTCCCTTCCTATCCACATAAACTAATCCTTAATATAGCCCTCTACCTTGAGTGGTCCCCCACGTCTGGTCCATGATGAACCTTACTGTGTTAAAAAAAAAAAAAAAAAAAAAAAAAAAAATAAAATTATTTCACAGAGGTCTGACTGTAAAAGTCAATCACATATTAGGAACATGATTGATTCATTTTCTACAGCTTATCAACCCACTGCAGGTTATTTAAAGCTAAAAAATATTTTTATATTCAAAGAATTTCTTTTTGGAGATAATTATTTAGTGATACAAGTCTTACTAATTAGCCAATAACTGGGGAAAAAAAGAGGTAGATTTGTGCCTTTCCCCAAAGGTATTTGCACATAAGTGAATATGACAAACCCAACAAGTATCTATCAGCTCTCTGATAAGCAAGTTTGAGTCATTATTCATTACATCATCTGCATATGGTTCTCCCAATATTTACAACTTTATCAGCTTAATAAATGCCAAACTGCATAATTTTGTTGTCAATTATCCCTTTTAACTACTTTTGAACTGTTTAAAATATTCAAAAACATTCTTGTCATCCTTAAACAAGTTATCAATATTTTTAATCATTGCAATAATACAAAAATATCTTCTCATCATTGCAGTTATATTTTGAAGTTAAAACACTGTTTAGTTTTAAGTGCCTTTTATAAAGACACTTAGAAATTTTAAAAAATTAACTTTGTAACTTTGCAATCACAATTTTTCATTATTATTATTATAGCACAATATAAAAAGCATATATTCTTTTTTCTAGACACATGACCTGTTGCAGAGAATCTGGTATATGAACAGTCCCCAAAATCTAACCAAATAACTAAACATCAGCTTCTTATTTGTTTTCTTGGGTCATCAAGAACTTTTCAGCATCTCCTCATCATTTAAAAAAGTAAAGAAAAAGGTAAAAACACTAATCCTTTGTAAATAAAATTGACATTCTTATTTCACATATTGCAAAATTCTTACCAAGTTGTATTGATAATGCAGGTTATATTAGAGAAGATACAGCAGAACTAAGTGGATTTGTTTTTCTGTTAATGTAAAGCATAAACCGATTGAAAGGTCTAGTATGAGCTCCATGAAAAACCGACAGGTTATTATAGAATTCATACAAGAAAGTCATGAATAAAAAGAAAAATACTTTTAATGAACAAAAGAAAGTGATAGTTTTTATATAATTTAACAAAAACTGATTTAATGAATAATGATTTGGCTCAATCATGTGTGGGTTTTTCAAATAAATATAAACTTTATAACAGTAACTATAACATCTATGTTATACAACTCAAATTAATATTATTATATTTCTGATCCCTTTTGAATTGGAACCAGTTTTGATGGAAAAACCTACATAAGAATATTAAACAGGAAGGGGAGTAAAAAATAAATATAGATAGAGAAGAGGAAAGGGTGGAAAGGAGGAAGAGGAAAGGGTGGAAAGGAGGAAGAGGAAAGGGTGGAAAGGAGGAAGAGGAAAGGGTGGAAAGGAGGAAGAGGAAAGGGTGGAAAGGAGGAAGAGGAAAGGGTGGAAAGGAGGAAGAGGAAAGGGTGGAAAGGAGGAAGAGGAAAGGGTGGAAAGGAGGAAGAGGAAAGGGTGGAAAGGAGGAAGAGTAGAGGGAATAGATTGTCAGGGATACTAACTAGATACACAATGAATGAAATATTGAAAAGACATAAAATATGACATTGAAATTCTTTACGATGGAGAGAGAGAGAGAGAGCAAAGGAAAAAGATAAGAGACAATGCAGTAAAAAATCATTATGCATTCCTTATTCACATATGTGACTAATCAATGTTTCTATAATATAGAAATAAAAGCACAGACAAGCAATGAAGATTGAAGGAATAAGAGAAAGAATGAAAAAGTGAGAGATGTACAGGGGAATGAGGTAATGGATAATCTTTGTTACCAACACCTGTGAAATTTTCATGGGTCCAGGTATTACAAGTATATTCTCTGGTAAATCTTCAACCAAAACAACCATATTCTGACACAGATTGTTTTGAAGAACAAAATAACAAATAAATAAAAATATGAAGAGGTAGATCAATAAATACACAATTAACTAAATGGGTTTCTTGTTATGACAGAGTGGTAGACATAGCAGAAAAACTACCTTCTTTTAAAGTCATTGGTTGATATAGGGTTTATTCAGATACCTGTTGACAAAGAATCATTTCTTTTCTTTTTTTTTTTATATGCATATCAATATTTTAGTTTATAAACATGAAACTGATTAGATAGCCATTTTCCAACTTTCACTTATCTCATCTTCCTTTCTTTCTTTTTTCCTTACTTTGCAGTGCCTCATCCAATAAACAGATTTAATTGATAAGCCTGGCTGAATATTTTATCAATTGTAACTACATTAAAGCAAAATATATTAAATATTGATAACATTAATTTCTTTTACATGTGAAAATAGCAAAATAAAGAATAAGGATATGGTGACAATTTATAAGAAAAAATTAGTTCCCCTTGACCTTAATTTTTTTTAAAATTATTTTTAATAAATTTGCATCATAATAATCAAAATATACTTTTTTTTTACAGAACAATATATAAAGAAAAATACAAAAACTCAAAAATTCCTATTATTATATGCAACACGCAGCTATTTATAAAAATGGGTTCTACATCAAAAAGATTCAAATACTATAATATCTATAATAAAAATGGTGAAATTTAAAGAGTCATAATTTATATTTGAACTAATATCCTCATCTTTGTTGTAGTTATCACAATGTTTTGGTTGTTCTGCCCTCCAGCCTTCTCCAGGAAATTTTGAACTGAAGGTTACTCAGATCGACAGACATCGGAAAAAGGTCAGCGAGCACAACAGTCAAAATGTTGTGACAATAACAACAATGAGGAGGACATAAGTTTGAATGTAAACAATGATAATGGCTCATGACAGAAATTAGGACATAATCCCCCAAAAAATTGTTTTAAATTTTAAAAAAATAAATAATTTCCTACAACTGTAAATCATATTCCTGGAAAATAATAGAAATAGGTTTATTAAAAAAAAAAAAAAAAAAATACAAGTTTAAATATCCACCAATTTACAGATTTTGGATAATCCAAAAGATAATGAAGAATTTGGAGATCTCATTAAATGGAATTTAATTATCACCATAATCACCATCTACTACATATATGCACAAATGTCCGCACACAAATGTGTGAATTATCAGATTACATTAGCTTCAAACTTAAAATAAGAAAATTAAAATCTGAACATATTCAGGCAACATATTTTCATTCAAATACATTTCATTGAATAATATAGACATATTGAGTCTACTTATTTTTAGACTTGATCCTTGATGTTAAGAATTCAAATCCTCTATCAAAATCAACCAACACTCAACCAAATTTATTATAAATATAGCAAGAACACATTAAAGTGCATATAACATTTCTACCAATTTCCAGTCACCTCCCTTATATTGAAACACTTGTTTTGTAAAAAATTCCATTACTGTGATGGATAAATTGTTGCAATTTTATATTTTTAATTCCATGCATGTGCATTATTTTTTTTATTTTGTTGATTGTACAGTATAGTCAGTTGGGCACCATCTGTGAGAAAAAGAGCACTATGATGCAATTCACTCCACCAGAAATTTGGAAACGGCATGCTGTACTACTTGGCAATTGTGCCGGAAGCTCCAATATGAACATTTCAGAGCGTTTAGGTGTCAATTTGTGGACAGAAAGAGTTGGATGAGTAATGGTGATTACGGTAGCTCAGAAAACTCACTCTGATCAAAGAAATGCCGAATTTGTGGATAAGGACCTCCAACTCACAGGAGGAGTTAGTGCTGCCCTGGGTTAAGAGGGTAGCTACTGGAAGACCCTGCCTGGCAACAGGACTCTGCACTATGCCACACAAGCAAGAGAAACCCAGTCATGACTGTCAGACAATTTCTGCAACCACATCACCCCTTACATCTGGCAACCTAACTCTCCAGACTGCAACCCACTTGATTATGTGCGGAGTGCAGTCAAGCAAGAGAACACAACTCCTTGTAACACCAAAAATGAACTGATGGCAAGGATTATGACAACATTCACTAACTTAAACAATGAGACTGTACAGAAGAGCTGTAGGAGATTCTAAAGTTGTCTGGATGTGATGGTAGAAACGAATGGTAATTTTATTGAATAAATTTACTCTTTAGTATTTCATTATATTTTTGTGTAATTTTGGTAAATATATCTGTTAAAATGAGATGTCAGTGTTATTTTCATTTCTGCATAATTTAGACGACAATTTATCCATTGCACCCTGTACAAGCCTTGATGGTAACATATTTCAAACTGAAAATAGGATACAATCTAAATGTATTGTTTTCCCATAAACCAGCCTCGTGGTTGAATAAACAGGTTGATAATTTCTCCTAACAAGTTAACTCCTAACCTGCCACAGGTGGTCACAGCTGCACACAAATTATATCAAAGGAGAGAAAGAAAAAAAAAAAAAAAAAAAAAAAAACTCAGTTAAATGATTGTCTGGGTAAATCCATTTATATTAAGCCTACTACCCTTTGATAGATTTCAAAAATTCAGTTCTGTTCCCGAGATTTCAATTAAAAAAAAAAAAAAATAAAATCTATGATTAAGCTAAACATCCCAAAAAAAAAAAAAAAAAATTTACCTGAATCAAATTAGGCATTATTATTGATGAAAATGACTTTAGTGGGAAAACAAAAATAATAAATAGAAAAATAAATTTACATCAACAACCTGATGTATTCTTTCATTCCTCTTTTAAACAAACATTTTTTTTAATAAATATTTTTTTTTTAAGTAAGTACAGTTAAAAAATTTCTGGTTACTATTCTGTTTTTGTTTCATTTTACAGTTACCTAGCATAGTACAAAGATACATTTACAAACTCATCTACTTTAAATATAGTTCAAGCAATCCGATCAAAATAGGTCACCAGACAACATCCACTAACTTGTTAACAAAACTGGCTGCTCATGATGAGATACATCTGCCTTTCTTCAATTTTTTTGCTATTATCATTAACAGGATTTCAACATAGTAGAAAATGGAAATTATCCAAACGATTTCCAGCAATTATTAGAAATTATGGTTAATGAAATCAAAACTTTGCACCAACAGAAAGTTTCCCTCTTAAAAATAGATCATGAATACTTAATATTCTTTTACCTGATGGTTGCTCTAAATACAGCCAATGGCATTATTGGAACTCTTCAAAATGGTATTAGTCAATTTCTTGGCAAAAATAATGATATAATTTTGAAGATAAAAGTGCTTTTTAAGGGTTTTCAGAAACAATTCTAAATTCTAAGTACAAATTCTAGACGAGAGAAATGACTGGAGATAAATTTACTTCTATGCCAATATAATCAGAGTAAATTGAAGATTTTCAGTTATACATATGTAATCTTTTTACTTTAATGTGAGTGTCTGCCAGAGTTCTATCCTTGGACCTACTTTGTTCCTTAATTTTTATCAATGACTTCTCCAGGGTCACCAGTCCTCAACTCAGTATCTATGCTGATGACCGATACACTACTGTCTTAACATCAGATAAGTTTGATAAGATCAAATTGACAGCTGACCTCAAAAATGACTTTCAATCTGTTGTTAACCAGGGCAAGAAATTTTAACGTTGCCAAAACAAAACCGCTAACTATAAGAGAAGGTGCAATGAATCTCAACCAGATCAGATGTGACGAGAATAGTCAATTCATAGATAAAGGTAGACTTATCTCTGATAAAAAAATCTATGGTCCTTTCATTCTTATGGAGTTGGATCAGTCCAACAATTGAACTTTCTCTGCGACTTAATCATCTTTAGAAACGCATTGATAACAACTCAATTCTAAACCATTCTCATGACCTCATTGCAACTCTTCTCTTATATCTTCATGAGTTACCATTCAATAATGCATTGAATATTGCTTTCAATAAATCTGGTACTGCTCATTTAGGTATTCTTGATAAAATTCTAAGAAACTGCAATGTTACTGGTCCTGATCTGGCATCTTGATTTCAATCACTTTCCCACTGTCATAATGTAGCTTCCCTGTGCTTTTACTATAAATATTTTCATGGTAATTAGTCTGATGAGCTTTCCTCTTTGGTACCTAGACTTTATGAATTTAAGCACAGTACTAGACTAGAAGCTAGGTCTTACAATTGAAATAGCTAGATGTAGGTATAAGCTCTAGCCTAACAGTTTCTTCTCTTGCATGTTTCACTTGTGGAATTCTTTTCGCATCTTGCTTTCCAATTAACTTTGATCTTCAAAAATTTAAATGCAATGTCAATCACTATCTTCTGTCTTCTTAATTTCTGTCCTTTCATTAATTCTTTCACACTCAGTGGCTTCATTGCCTTGCTTGGGATAAAATGATTAAAATAAATAAATAAAATAAATATATTTTAGAACATGCAACACTATCATTGTATGTTGCTAAACATGCAGAAGACTGAATCTTATTTAACTTATATTCAATGAGAGAAACACACCATGGCTAAAAGCTGATCACAATTTCAGATCACCTAACACTTCAGTTTCTCATGAATAAAGATAACTGAAGACAAATAGAATAAATTACTTGAAAATGTCTGTCTTTTTTATCTAATGAGCAAGGTTGAAAAGTATTTCTTACTTGGATGTCATGGAAAAGAAAAATACAGGGCAAATAAAAAATAAATAAATGAAAGGACAGGTAAGTTGAATTGATTTCTATTTTGTATTAATGTAACTCAATAAAAATTACAGATATTAGTCTACGTTTATTACTGAGTAACTAGGATACCATTAGAGCCTTGTGTGTGTTTACACTTTTGAAGAAACAATAATCAGCAGAGGCATGACTAACAAAGCATCAGGGTAAATGCCTGGACCAATTTCCCCACATGAACAGAGAAAGCATGTAACAATGTTTATCATCTGGTGCACCATTTAATGCCGACACAAATTGTTATTTGCTTTTATAAAGGCAAATAAAAATTTAAAATAAAAACAACCTTCACGGCTTTCAAAATAAGACAAGCCTGTTCTTATAGTGTTTTGTTTTTTTGTTTTTTTATGACCCAGCAAACAAGAAAGATGATCATATATTTCCAGCATATTTATTCAAGCATCAGACAGATTATATTTTATGATAAAAGAACAAAAAAAGAAATATGAAGATAACTATAACAGGTTATCAGATATCCATTAAATCATGCAATTGATAAGCATACAATATTATTACATCTTAAAATGAAAAATAAAAAGGGTGTCGATAGAGAGAGACTATCAATGAATTTTCAACTTTTATCCAACTAGAAATAAGTTGTCTCCCTTTAACATAATTACAATCTCTAATTATAATTATATTATAATAGTTGACTGTTTTTCTGGAGCTGCTGGTGATCACTTATTTGGGAGTAGAAGTTTCCAGACTATTTTGTCTAAGTGAAAGCAATCAGAGGCTATAAAGCACCAGTGAAATCATCCTTTCTAGTAGAACAAGCAGTACTAACGTTAAACAAAGGTGAGACATTCCATAAACTGAAGCTCTGTAAAGCTTACAAGTGCAGATTTACGCAAATATTTTCAGACAAATGTCACAAAATTTATCATCTATCATAAGCAGAATATATGACACTCATCAAAATGAATAATAAAATAGATCTTCTTGTTGCATCAACATCGTTTCCATTTTAGTACAAGAATAGACAAAAACAAAAATGATTGTTCGTTTAAATAAAAAGTTGCTTACTAACATATGGCATATTTTTAGCTGTCTGATCAATATTTTGGTAAAGAGTTAATTGTCGGGGTTAAAACATTTAAGACAGATTTTAATCTTCAATAACCTAACGCTAATTTAAGAATTTTACTGTGATCAATTAAATTTACTTTTTGCATAACATCGAAAATACTATGCTGACATGATCTTTTTAATCTGCCAGATGAAACGAGGAAAAATCGGTATCAATAACAAGAAAAAAAAACCTTTAAAACGATCAAGTAAAAATAATCTAAGTCTTAGATTATTTTTACTAATTCTAAATCTATCATCTTAGATTCTAAGATGATAGATTTAGAATTCCAAAGTTTTGTGAAAATATTTGCCTTGTAATTTAAGGAACGTAAAAAAAAAACTTCCACTTTGGGTTGGCATTTACTTGAGAATGAATAAAAAGAAAAGTGAATGATAATTTCAGGTCCACGGCACGTATGGGTAGCGGTATTTGAAATAACAGTGGGGAAAGAGAGAGAAGAGATAAATGACCTTGGTTTGCACGATTCTAGACCACCCAGGGGAAAAAAAAATTTGACACCTGTTTGTCTCCCTCTGGCAAACCAAGATTACACAACTAAAAAAAAATAAAAACTTGAAGAAGGTCATTCAGTTGTACTTTAATAGAAATCAGTCAATATTGTATTTCGGTCTTACGTACATCAATATGATTCAGGTTAGCCATTTACACGCACAGAGAAAAAGAAAACTAATAATTGTTATGTGAAAATTATATATAAAAAAAAAAACATTTTACTTTGCACCCCCCACCAAAACCTTTTAAAAACAAATGGTCCTCATGTCTCACTGCATTTTTACAACATTCAAAATGTTTCTTTAACCGACCAAATACACTTGAGAACTTATATATAGCCTTGTTTTAAAGGAAACCTCAGCGCAAAATTATAAAGAAAACAACGGCTTAAATCATAATGTGTATGAGATGTGAAATCCGTTAAGACTGATGACTTACTTGGAATATGGTCATGTGACGATCGATTTTAGAAAATAAATAACAAAACATCATTAATAACAATAACACATGGTTTTCTTGAATCTAAAATAAATATTACAGAAATAATCTCATTATATCACCTTATTTGTGATGACCTTAGCATCGAGGAGAGAGCGATATCAAAGTTTATATAAAAATCCATGATGATACCAGTTAACGAGAAATCACACCTGTTGAATTCTCAAAATAATAATAATAATATTTTTTTGCGGTCGCGCGTGGACGGGTGTCTCAACAGGCATTTCAGCTTTTTTTAATCAAATCCATTGCAATACATTAGTTTCGCATTTTGCAACTAGTAGTTACAGTAATTGATATTTATAAACCAAGTTACTATGGGCACTTGGGCAAGATTGTCAACAAATAAAGGAATTTCAGTTTTACACTTTTTGTGTTGTGGTCTCCCCTCTTTCTTTCTCATTGAAGGCTATAGTTTAAATTTAGGTCACACCCAAGTACTAACTCCTTCTCCATCTCCCCCTGTATTTCGCATCGCATAGAAATAACTCTTCCTAAATGACAATTCGAAGCAATTACAAAAATATTTATTTATAAAGAAAGCGATCAACTCAACGGTTGACATTTATTATTTCTTGATAATCAGGGCTCCACTACAAAGGTAATAATAATAATACGGAGACCTGTTGACGAATGAACAACAGTTAACTTTGGGATGCAGCAGCAATTGATTTCAACATTCTCGTCATTAAAATAAATTAAATAGAAGCAGTTTGAAGATTTTCGATATGTAGACACGTTCATGTTGTCATATCGAGGCAAAAAATCCTCAAATGCGAACGGTTTTTTGCGCATTATCATGCAATATGTGAACATGTGTATGGTAGGGAGATTACGCACGTCGCTGGAAATAATGATCAGCTCATATTTGTAGAAGCAGACTTCATAACATCGTTGCTCCTGTGTTTTTTTATTATTAATACTCAAAAGAACAACAATAACAATGATAACAGTAACAATAAATGCGTGTGTCTCTCTACAGAGATTAGTTTTACTTAGATGTTAAAAAGAGAAGACACCCTCCTATTGAAAATATACGTATCGCCCGTTAGTTGTGCGTATGTAAAGCTCCAGCACACCTCCCACAAAATAGGCGATCTCGAACCCCTGGGCAAGAGAACGTGACCATCAAACTAGCTAGGAGGTTCCCAGGGGTGTTGTCCGAGTTTCTAGTCGGGGTCAGGGTGAACGAGAAAGAAAGACTTACCTTCATCGGGCGACGTCTGTTCCCAGTTGGGCTGGGATATCCCCGTCTTGGCCGCCATCTTTAATACTTCACGCGTACATTAGCGTCCTCTGTCGGTGGGTGGTGACATTACTGATTCTCCTCCTACTCCGTCTCCACATTCTACTCCTCCGCCTACTCCAGTATTTCTCTCTGGTTTGTCCTTCCTTTCTTCTTGTGGATATTAAATGGGTATGAAATCCTGAGTTCTCCGTTAAAATATTGTCGAAATAAACCAGCCTTCTCTTTATGGCTTTTTTTTTAATATAAGAACTCTCCCCTTATCCAGCTAATAAAGAATTATCTTTACTTAACTAAACAAAACATTTCCCCCTTCTTTCTCATGTTGTTTATCCTGTGTAGCGTGTGTGTAACAATTGAATAGACAAAAAATCTCAGTAGTAACACACCAACCACATTTTTCCTTATTTTATATATCCTATACGTTCAAAAGTAAGGAAATAAATATAACCATATCGAGGTTTCATGATTTTCGAATCTAGTAACAAAAACGTCAGGTTAAAAATTATTGTGTATTGAAGAAAAAGAATTACTAGAGAGAATGTCACATTCACACTATCGGTTAAGATGTCACGAAGACCTTTGACTTCTCGTGTAACAAACGAATGACTAACAAAAATACTACAAAAATCGTGTCAGATCAAATTTAATACCAGTGTTAGATCATTAAGAAAAAGGAAAAAATTTGACAGCTTCCACAACTAAATTATATACACTAGATATCCTGAGATTTCTATCACCTAGCCTTTAAAATAGACACAAAGTATTCGTAATTCGAACGAATTAAATTTTTTTAAATTGATTTAACTTTTTCTTTTTTTAGAATATACACTACTGATGTCGATTTTTAAGCTATAACTACGCACTGATAAAAATTAAAGACTCTTCTACATATATACAAATAAAAAGGACGTCTGATAATTCGGAAAATTAAAAGATAACGAGTCTTTTTTTCGTTTTTTTATAAAATTTCTTTTTAAAAGTCGAAATCGTAAATAAAACAATATCAAAATGTCTTTAAAAAAAAACCACTAAGCAGGAATAAAATCTAAAAACCGATTTTTGTATTTATTTCAATATTTAATTAAAACGTAAATTTCTAGCATTCATTATTCTGTCATTTAATCGTATATTAATAAAACTTCAATATGAAAATATTGTGGATCTCAATGATTTTTTTAGTAGCAAAGTGTTACTGTTAAGAATAGGAAAACTAAGAGAGAAAAACACTAATCCTCTGTTAAAAAAAAATTCATTAACCTCTTTACAAAAAGAAAATGCTCTTTTTTCGTCTTATAAATATTTTGTGGCTGATTATTTCGTAATTTGGGGTCCGTATGACTTATTTCTTCCCTCTATACGAGAATAAAGATGTTGCCCTTATAGCAACAATAATTTCTTTATCTAGATGTCGATTTCCTTTCTTTTTTCCTTTTCTTTTTTCCTTTTTTTTTTTTTTAAATATTTGGTGTGCTACTGAAATGACGTTGAGTAAAAATACAATTATGTCCAAAATCGGTTTGTAAGTGTATATTTAACACATGTAAGAAAAATGAACGTGAATATAAGGTAAATAATAAGAGTGCGTGTACCAAAATGAACCAGACGTCGGAGTTTCACTGTAATTTACTTTAGTAAAACTCGTATTAAAAATAACGAGCAGTCATCGCATTGGGATGATGGTTTGTTAAAAGAAAATAAATAACCCTTTTGTTTTCTTCGTTTTAGTCTAAACTTAGATTAGACTATATGAATATTGGTAAGATATTCAAATGCGGATCCGAGTAAAGATATAAAATCCATATCTAAAAACAAAACACCTATTCTTAGCTCCTAGACGGCCGCTACTATGGCGATCAGGCTCCTTCTTCGTCGTTGCCGTGTGTCTTCGTCATGTTCGTCTTTTCCACCTTCAAAGGTAACCATATTCCATGAGTTCTCAATTCCAGCTTTCCTACAACACGAAAAATGTTGCATTTAGTCGGTGCTGGGACCCTGACAGCCAACACACGCGCGCAAAAGTCGCTCTGCAGGGTCAAAACTTTGGGCAGAAGGTTGTTTGTTGGCCAAATCGTACTTATTTTTTTACGTCAGGAGTAACGTCCTATGCGGAAATGCTCTTACAGGCGGTGTTTTCAGGGTATGGAACACCAAAAGTGTAATAAGTTTTTAGAATGTGGGTGATTCCTTGTTGATTTTTTTTGCAATTTAATGCTCGTGCTAGCGTATAAGACGTGCAATTGGAAGCAAAAAGAGATGTTTCAAAAATGCTTTTAGTGAAAGTGCATTATCCAAAGCTAATTTTGATGTATTTTTGAAATTGAATTTTATAAAATATCCTTAATTTTCACATTTTTACAATCCAGTAGTTGACTAAGAACATGAAATTGTGTTGGATTTTTTTAGCAAATAAAATAAATACTTCATTGATTTTTTGCTTTGCAAACCAATAAAAATGATGTGATTTTTAAAATGACTTGCAAGATGACCAATTATTTTTTCTAGAAAAGTGTTTCAACTCCAAAATTATTTATAAGATATATTTCTCGGCTTTTAGAGGTTTCAAACAAGAAAATTATATTTAATGATCTGAGGCAAACATTTTAAAAAGTTTTTATATATATATGTGTGTGTGTGTATATATATATATATATATATATATATATATATATATACATAAATTTATTCAAAAATTATAACATAACTATAACATATTTATGGTATAATTTTCAAATAAATTATATTTGCTCTACTCTGTATTGAGCACTCTTTTAAGAATAGTATTTTTTGGTTATTGGAATTTATTCCGTATACACTAATCCTATACTTGGATATATATATATATATATATATATATATATATATGTGCGTGTGTGTCTGTATATATATATATATATATATATATATAAAGGTGGATCAATAAGTCTGTAGCTTGAAATGCACTTATTATATAAAGTTTGTTCTGAAACTGTATAATGTCTCTTCTAAATACTTAATACTCACCACTGAATTTAAGGATGTGGAAAAAGAAATATTGGTGTATGAAATAAATTCTTTCTTTTAATTAATAATCTACAAATTTATTGATATATGCAATAATAATAGCTGGCCACTCGTATTGAAGGATACCCGTCTACTAGGGTGACTAGCCAATCCCTATTGCAGATGCTCGCTCAGGCACACTTGTGTTTGCTCAACACCCACAGAGCCCACCTTTGGTTTATACTGCTACTATGCTGAGCAGACATTAGTTAGAATTTCTGGGAAAGAGTGTTATCTAGTGTGATCAGCAATCTGAACAAGGCCAGCACACTCAAACCTTTGGTCACAATGACTTGTGACTTTGTGCTAGCACAGCTATCAATGGCCCTCAAGTGTTAAGTCTACCCAATTTAACTCACAAGGCTTGGGTTAACCCGTGGTATGGTTTTCAGGCACTTTCCAAAGGTGCCACACTCTGTGATCGCCCTCTCCAGATCAATAACATCAGGAAGTCTCCTTCCTGACAAATCAGCCCTGGTGAGATTTGAACCTGGGTCTCATGGTCAGAGAGCAAACATTCTAACCACTCGGCCATGCGCCCAATATTGATAGATGTACAGCCATATATACACACACAAATTTTGTTAATGACAATAGGCAGATTATTCAAAATCATCCCAAATAAGTATACTACCACATGAATTTTGAATTTCATTTAATGATTTGCTTTCTTTTTTGAGAATGACTGAGGCTTGACAAAAAGCTCAGAAAATTTACAAGAACTAGCACAAAATGAAGATAATTCTTTAATACTCTGAAGACATTCACAGAAACGGTTCTGCCAACAAGAAATTACACCCCACACATAATAATCAAGGACATTGCAATCTGGATAGTCAGATGGTTAGATTTAAGGGGTGATGTGGTTGCATAAATTGTCTGACAGATATATATATGCCTTTATGTATATATATATGTATGTATAGATATATGCATGAGTTTCTGTATATATATAAATGTATGTATATATTGTATGTGTTTATGTATATATATGTATGTATATATGTATTTATGTGTTTATGTATATATATATGTATGTATATATATACATATATATATATGTGTATGTGTGTATGTATATATATGTATATATATATGTGTGTATGTATATATATATATATGTATGTGTGTATGTATATTTATATATTATTTGTGTGTATGTATATATATATATATGTGTGTGTATATATGTATGTATGTACTAAAATGTGTGTATATATATGTATGTGTGTATATATATGTGTTTATATATATATGTATGTGTGTTTATATATATGTTTTGTGTATATATGTATGCATGCATATATATATATTTATATATACATACATATATATATATATATAAGAATAAATATATATATATGTATATGTATATATATATATGTGTATATATATATTTATATATATGTATGTGTATATATGTGTTTATATATGTATGTGTGTATATATATGTATATGGTTATATATATATGCTTGTTTGTATGTGTGTATATGTGTGTGTGTGATAAGAAATGGGAGTAGGAAACAGATCTTAATCTAACATGTTTCACTTCATTAAAGCTTTGTCAGAGATCAAGATAGAAATGATAAAAAATTATTAAAATCAAAGAGACACGGATACATACATATATATATATGTATAAGTATGTATATATATATGTATGTGAAATATATATATATGTGTGTTTATATATATATATGTATGTGTATATATGTGTATATATATATATATATATATATATATATATATATATATATATATATATAAAAGGACAGCCTGATTTTTTTTCCTATGTTTCACGTTCATGTGATTTTTATATGAATAGACATTTTAGCCATCTGAAGATCACATGAGCACGAAACTCAAATAATGACAAAAGCTGTCTTTTCATAGGAGTTAACGTTGTGATGCATTTTTTGCTCTGTCTAGATAATCTAGGCATTGAGCACTTTTCTTTATTGAGTTGGCAGTTAGTT